TTTTGTAAATGCATTGTGTTACCCATTTGTTTTATTCATAAACACACATTTTGGTTAGTAGTGTTACTAGTCTGCAATGACAACTGGATCCCTAGGATCAATAGCTCTGTAAGCACTCGACATTTAATGCTAACTGCATTAGTTTTACTAGACTCATCTATCCGGAGGTGCTCGGCCGCGTGTCTACCCCAGATCATGACTGGGTGCGCCGTGCTACACATCTCTTTAAACTGCTTGTAACGGAAAGAGAACAGTGAAAATCCCTCTGCAGCTTCTTTGTTGAACAGCATTTTCATTTATTTGTTCCTTCTCCCTTTTGTGTATTCCAACCTTTGTTTCGACCTCGTTTAACCATGTCTTTTGTTCTTCAGTCTTCCCCGTCTGAGCCTTTATTATGTGATTTTGATTAAAGACTTATTTTTGTTACCTAATTTTCAATTGCATGTTGCCGGACCATTGACAGTAAGGTTGTGTTTGACTAAGCTCAAGGTCACGGCGTGGTTCAGTTTGTGACTGTAAACCTTCTGACTGTCTGCTTGGGAGAACTGCTGCAATCCCTGCAGATAGATATTTGATCCCATCTTATTGGGAATATTTGTATTGATTCTCAGGTATCAAACCCTTTAGTATTAACTGTCTCTTTCATTGTTTAGCGCACTACTTTGCGTTAGAGAAACTTCTGACTGTATAGCACAGGCTGTACCGTTTGAGGTATTTTGTATTTTTGATGTAATTTGTTCTGTTTTCTTAATTAGAACCGTTTATATTGAGCACAGAGTTTGTGTTTTGGTATAATATAATACGAGTATCTCAAAGACGCGTTGTGAGCTATACAGAGGAACTTGGTCTGGTCTAATCGAATAAATTTTGGGTTCGTCCGTAGTTCCAACCGAATATTGGCTGTTCGGTCGTTACACTGCTACCCAGCTTAGAACAAAGGTTCCCAAAACACTGATAGTCTTCTAAATATACTTTCTTACTCCTTCATTTCTGCATTCTGATTTGAGTGGGTTGGCATACTTCGATTAAAAAGGTGGTACTGGTCAATGCGTTGTAAAACTTAGAATGCTTGTGGCACCTTCAACTCTTTTTGTTATAATAATAACTTTGAGCATTATCAGATGTTGATCACGTTCTTTTGTTTGGGTCCACAACAAATCTGGTTGGTTCATATTTTTCGTTAAAACCATCATTTTGGGTCCATATTTAACCAACCAGATGTTTCTTTGTAGCTTTGTTATTGCACGTATGATTTCAAACACCCTTAGTAGCACAAGAACTCCAACCACAGCGTCATTAACAAGTGCATTGAACCATCTACGCGGACACTGTGCATGGACTGTATCTAGCCCAGAGTACGAGCTAGATGTATTACAATTTTCAATTTCCAGTCTGATATCACGAAAGTCACGTACTGGTTCTACTATCCGTGGTCCAAGTTGCCCCTTCTACGTCCCGGACAAGACCACAGGTCACAAATTCGCAGTCAAAATTTTTATTATCCTAGTTATCTTAGCCGAAAGACCAATTGCCGAAAACGGAGAATAATCCTTGAATGCAGCTAATAAAACTGGAACAAAGATGCTTAGAGAACAACTCTTGACATTAGACTTGGCAATAACACGTCGTTTAAGCTAGGTGTTTATTATTGCCTATGTCTGTCACCGTACAGACCTGCTAAACTATTACAACATACTTGATGTTAAGGAACGAAAACTAATTGATTCTTGTAGGTATCACTACAAAGGGTCAACTTGATAATTTCGAGTAAATTGAGCATTGAGTCGATTTTCATAAATAAATTATGATATTTGAAAAATGCAAATGAGTAGAAAAATTAAATTTGGATTTGATTATTTATTATGTGAAGAAGTGGATTACACTGAGAGTCCTGAGGGCTCAGTCAAACTATCATACACACAATATTAAAATCAACGCCTCACTAAATTATATCTTCGCCAATATTATATTCGAATTTCCTGAAATAACGAAATCAGTCTACACCGGATATACTATCCAACATTTGGTAATACACCATTACTAAAGGTACACATCAGTCACAACCAGACAAGCTTGCCATTGCAAAACCGAATTTGAGCACGTTATGCGACTGGGAATAATACGTCTCTCCAGTAGCCTCTGGACATACTCACTTCACGTGGTACCTAAGAAAAATGATGATCATCAACCTTGAGCGAGTACTTGCTGTTGAATAACTTAATGGCACCTGATCGCTTTCCCATTCCTCGTTTGCACTATTTTTTCATTAATGCTACACGAAGAACAAATTTTCTCTGGCACTCTTTTATATTATGCGGGCCTATTGCCAGATACCAGCAGCATCCTAGGATACAGAAAAAACAGTAATCGATACTCCTCTTGGTTTGTTCCAATCCCTAAGAATGACATTCGGACTGAAGAAGTCTATATATGCATTTAAACTATTTATAGATGAGGTCACCAAACGCCTTGAGTTTGTCTTTGTGTAAATCGGTAATGTATTGACAGCTAGTAGCTCGCTTCACAAACATACTGTTCGCCTACGTCAGGTATTCAAATAGTTCTAGTGGTTTGGTATAGCCATTAATCCATCCAAACGCATTTTTGGACATTTTAGGCCACTTGATCGATAAACATGGAACCAAACCTGTAAATGAAAAATTGTACCCATCAAAAATTTGCTGGAAACAGATTCATTTAGCAAACTTTGGCGTTTCTGGAAGGTGATTATCTTTTGTTGTCGGTTCATTTCACATTCTTATGCCCTCCTACAACCCGTAATGGAAGCATTAGGAAGCAAAGTCAATAAGTTCATATCATTTTGGAAGAGCGAAACGCATTTTCTGCAGCTAAGAAAACAAACGCTCCACAATCCGTGCTGACGTACTCAGGTTCTTGTAGTTTCACTGGGCCCTAACCACAAAATTTTCAAAGCTGAACACATGACAACTGGGAAATAGATATTCATCATTTGACGCAGAGAGAACCCCAACGATGGAGAAGGCGAGGAGAATTAATTCAATTAGTTGGAGTTGGTCGAATGGCGTGGCTCGACTTTGTAGGCGTGATCCTACTTATGTAAACGTAAGGTCTGTTTTGAATGTTATGTGTGTGGAAATCCCTCCATGTATACACTTGCAGTTTCTTCCTATTGATTCCTCTAGTTGTACATTGTTAGTCTTTTGATTCCATTTGAGTTGTTAATATTTGTATTTTATTATGGTTTCTATTTTTCTGTGTTTCTTCCTGAACTGCATTTATGTTGTTTTACTTGATACTTAGTCTTGTCGGCAGCCATATTGGTTTTTTCCTCCTTTTGATTGCGTTGCTTGTATTGACTGGAATTAAGCATTTTTTATTGTGAGTCGAAGCACTCTTCCAGAATTGGAAACACTGTGTTATAAAGCAACCACATATAATTTTTTGAACGAATCTTTGCGTGTTCTATCCAGACAGGATAGAATAGCATTTATTTGTTGTGACTGGTAATTTTCTCTCATTCTTTGTCAACTTCCTTAGTTATTGTAGTTTAGATTTGATTAGGTGAACAATTATTGGTTGGATAGCTGGGTGATCATATTTGTTTAGGTAACGATGTGTAGCGTAGCGTCGAGTTGAGATTAACTATGAACACCGCTACCAAGAAACACGTGCCAGATAAATCAGAAGGCGAAGATCGAACGTAACCAGATTTATTTCGTTGGCGATCTCGTGGTATTGAACGAATACCGAGATCGTGCCAAGAAATGATACAAGTGGAAGCAGAAGACAGGAGTACGTGCGAATAGTACCAAAAACCGCGGAACAATGAGGGAAGGTAATGGAAGCACAAAATGGCTATAATTAGCACAGTTAAACAAAAGCACATTAAAACGAACACTGGTACAGTTGGTTATAATACTAATTGTTTTTATTAAACCAGTCGTGTTCTCGTGATAAATGTGAGTCACTACAGGAGCCCCCCGCTAGAAAGGGTTTACATTTTCGATAAATAGCGGTTTGAATCGTGGGACTGATCGGCTGACGAGCGATTGTAGGACGGAAGAATTGGCGAACAGGAAAGCGATCGTTGATCGTCGAGTTGCCAACGTAGGTCGTTTTCGGAGAACGGTGCCAGGAGCGATGTGCTGTATTTGTTGCTTGAGTTTGCATGCTACACGAGAGTGGTTTGTATCCAGAATCTGAAGATTGCGTTCGTAGGGAATGCGGACCAGAAACGTTGCAGACGTAGGACGAAACCACGTTGAGCCAAAAACCGGAAGCGACCATAACGACCAAGTTCGAGACCAAGCGTATGCCATGCATTCGAAACCAAAATATCGACTGAGTGCGTTGACAAGAGGATGGGTGATCAGGCCAGCTTTCGCCAAAGTTGACTGAAGTCGACGGAACCAAACGGAGATGGTCGAAGGCGTGGGCTCAGGAAACAAAAAGAAAATCAAAAAAGAAGTGTAGCATGCGTGTAGTATAGGAATAGTCCTACACCGTATCGGTTGTTGACTGTGCGACTAGTCGCGGAAGCGTACGGGCAACCGTACTCGGCGACCGGAACGTGAGACGGTGGTCTCGTTCGCGTCGCGTGAGCCTGCAGTCTCATCCAAAGTCAAGGGCGGCGTGGTCCGCTGATCTGGACGTGAGACTTTCGTCTCGTCCGTAGACGGTGCAGGTGACGCGTGCTGTTGATTGGGACGTGAGAATGAGGTCTCAGGTGTATCTAGCGTGGGACCTGAAGATGGTTTGAGGATCCCGCTAGTAGGTTTGATAGGTCTAGCATTGAATCTCAGGTTATCAGATAGGGCACTGTCATCGACGTGTGCTGGCTTGAGACGATCAATGCTGACGATCTCGACGCGGCCGTGTCGATCAACCTTGAAGGTCTCTTCGTGACGAGCGATCACGCGAAAAGGGCCTTCGTAAGGCTGTTGCAAAGGTTTGCGTACCGAATCTACTCGTACAAAAACATGTTCTTTTTTGTTCTTTTTGTTGTTGTAGTTTTTTTTCGAATAGAAAACAATTGCATACAAAAAAAGACAATTAAAAGTTGTTGTTTTTCTAACGTTTACGTATAGTATTTCCGGCCCAATCAATTTTATTTGTATTTTTTAAGAAATTTAATCCATCTTCAAAATTTTCACGTGTAATCATACGTTCAGAACGTGCACGTAAATCTTCTAGTACACGTGAATAAACAAAAGTTAATACACGAGGACGTTCTTCAAGAAGTGACCATATTGCCATTGCCATTTCTTCACGTCGTTTACGTACACTACTACTGATACCTGTTGTCAAAATATTGATATCGATAGTACCAGTAAGCGGATCAATAGCTGCTTGTTTTAACGCTTCACGTTGTAAACGTCGAGCTTCACGACAATCATCAGCCGTAACATGATTTGATAATCGTAAACGAGCATGAGCTTCAGCTAAACGTACAAGTGATTCAAGTTGACGAGGATATGCGGATATCTGTCCACGACCTGAACCCAGTTTTCGCATTTCTACATACTCACGAACTAAATATTCACCGGCTTCTTCCGTTAGTTTGGGAAAGTACTTCATCTTAGCATAGGCTATATAATCCTTCAAGAGTCTCCCGTTTACAAATGATGGATCATCATCAGTTTGACTGTCCATGTCCAGTAGAACAGCTCCTGGACGCGGTCTACGTGTACCTCGAGTATTATTATTACTGTTGGTTGGAATATCCTGACTGCTATCAATCTGACTTGGAGAAGTACCACGATAATACAACCCAACCAAATGTCTGGCTAATCTTGTATCATAAACTTCATCTTGTGGATCCAATATGAGAAAAATGAGGTCGAATCTTGATAGAAGAGTATGAGGTAACTGTATATTGTCAATAATCGTTTTGCTAGGATCCCATTTAGAACCGATTGGATTAGCAGCTGCTAAAATTGAAGTCCTAGCATGAAGTTGACAAAGAATACCAGCTTTAGCAATACTTAAAGTTTGTTGTTCCATTACTTCGTGTAGTACAGAACGAGTTGAATCGGACATTTTGTCGAATTCGTCGATACAACATATCCCATTATCAGCCAACACTAATGCTCCAGTTTGCAGTGTTAATTGACGCGTTTCTGCATCTTTTGTAATGTAGGCCGTTAAACCAACAGCAGAACTTCCCTTGCCAGAAGTATATTGACCACGAGGAGTAAGACGGTATACATACTGCAGAAGTTGAGATTTTGAAGTACCTGGGTCACCACATAAAAGTATATTGATTTCAGAACGAAAATCACCACGTCCTTTAGCACTGAAGTCTTTACGTGTACCACCAAATAATTGTAGGAGAATACCCTTTTTAATATCTTCGTTTTCATAAATTGTTGGTGCGATACCAGCAGCAAGTCGTTCATATAAATCAGGTTTACGAGCCAATGTATGAAATTCTTCAATACGTTCCTCCGTGAATTGACGTAAAATATGTGCTTCCTCAATAGTATTTTCGTCAGTAGCGAGCCCATCATTTTGAACTCGATCATCGCCTTCTCGGAGAAAATGAAGAACATCTATATATGTTTTGTAAACCGCCTTAAGAGTACGTTTTCGGTTAGACATTCGCAGTGGTATTGCGCTATAAATACCCGTAACGATAACACGATCACCCGGTTGAATTTTATCAACAAGTTCTTCGTGAGCATACATAAGTACTGTATGAGGAGTCTGGCTAGCAGGCATATTTTCTGGAGATTCCTGTAATTTAATCATTTGTTTATCCACAAATAAACATCGATTATGTTGTAGTTGAGCTGTGTGAGCCGAATGACAACGTATGCACGCTTCTGGTTCTGCAATACGACCACGTTCACATGGAACAGATGTCATTGCACCACAGATGGCACATTTGAACTCTGCACGCATCATTTCAGGGATGAGCGGGGATAAACGTATTACAAGACCAGAGACAGTTACAAGTTGATCAAGATCATCTGGATCAAGACTGCGTAGATCTCGAGATCTTGCACAATTGAATGGACGAATCTGTATTGATCTTTCCAACTGGACTTCCCGAAAACGGTCTAAAAATAAGGCGTGTGTAGCAGCATCACATGCTGAAATAACTTCCTTCGGAAATGTTACCAACTGCGTATACAAATCTGGCCTGGCAGAACGAAGATGTTCACAGTCAATGTCTAAGGCAGTCGAACCTGATATTGCAAGATCTTCCATTCGTTGGATATAAAGAGGTCTTTGTGGATTTATGGATTGACCTGTTGTTAGATTCGGTTGACCGGTTAAGTCTGGAGGGATGTAGGTCAATAGGAAGTGTTTAAATCTTGACATCACTTGAGCAATGTTTACATCGGTACCCCATATTACAGTCTGAGGTCCACTAGCAGTCGACCCATCAGTAGTACCAGGGACACCTGTTGCGGGAACAAGAGGTCCAGATTGAGACAAAACAGCACGAACAGCCAGTTCATCATTGACACCAGGTCGAACTGAACTCAAAACATCTTCGACCCCAGTCGCCACACTAGACATATCGCTGTATGATAAAGGACTACCCGGCTCCACTTCGGATGTACGAAGACCGGATGTGGGTTCTGCATTGCTTGTAGGCTCGGTGTGTCCTGACCGATTACGCCGTGTTCTCCCACGTGTACGACTTCATTCCCCAGTTCGTTCAAACATGGTCCCAGCACTTAACAGGTCACCTGACAACTGTTCATCGTTTGTTGCACCCCTGCGGCGAGAACTTCGTGAGCTGAGACTTGACATTTTCGGACTTTCATATACCCGCTTCTTGAACAGGTAGATAACTCTCGAGGGAGAGCGACCTGTCGATGTTGTATTCGAGTTGACACCGGAGACAGCGTTCGCATAAATGCAGACAGTCGTTGGACGTAGTCTGATTTAGCGAAATTAGGTCTGCTCCGTGGTGTGAAGAATTCCCCGGGCAGACGCAATGTCGTGCCGTATACAAGTTCAGCGGCGGAACATTGGATATCTGCCTTTAAACTCGTTCTGATACCTAAAAGAACGAGCGGTAAGGTTTCGTACCAGTCGTCGTTTTCGTGTGCTCGAAGAGCACTTTTAAGTTGCCGGTGAAACCTTTCAACTAAACCGTTTGAAGCTGGATGGTAGGCGGTAGTGCGTATTCGTTCCGTACCAAGCAGCCGAGTAAGTGAGGAGAATAGTGCGGACTCAAATTGTTGTCCTCGGTCAGTCGTGACAGTCGAGGGACAACCATATAGAGCTATCCATCGTTCTACGAAGCGGTGAGCAACTGTCTCCGCCGTGATAGACGTGATGGGTATAGCTTCGGGCCATCTGGTGAAGCGGTCGATGCACGTGAGTATGTGATCATACCCGTGCGATGGTGGCAGTGGTCCTACAATGTCTAAGTGAACGTGATCGAAGCGAGCATCAGGCGTAGCGAATGTACCGAGGGGGGCGGCTACGTGCCTGTGCACTTTTGATCGTTGACATTGTAAGCATTGCTTAGCCCACATACGAACATCTTTATTCATGGACGGCCAGACGTATCGTGCAGCGATGAGGCGTAATGTAGCTGCGATACCTGGGTGAGATAATCCATGCAGGGCATCGAAAACGAGACGGCGATAAGCAGAGGGTACGATGGGTCGAGGAAGACCGGTAGACGTATCACATAGAATGGTGCCAGAAGTCGTGGCTAGAGGTACTTCCTGATACTGAAGGGACGTAGAGTGTGGTGCTTTTGTACAGCTGGGATCGTTTGCTTGGGCAGCGGCCATAGCAGGAAGATCGAGCACCGGCAGGGTAACTGCATTCATTTGGATTCGTGATAGAGCATCGGCAACACAGTTCGACTTGCCTTGGATGTGACGAAGGTCTGTCGTGAACTGGGAGATATAGTCCAAATGTCTGCACTCTCGTGGTGAGTAGCGGTCAGACTTGGTATGCAAAGCATACGTTAAGGGCTTATGGTCGGTGAATAAAATGAATCGACGTCCTTCTACTGCGTGCCGAAAATGTTTGATGGCGCAGTAGGCTGCTAGCAGCTCGCGACCAAAAGCGCTATATCTCGTCTCCGTGGTAGTAAGGCGTCGTGAGAAAAACTCGAGAGGTTGCCAACTACCGGAGATGTTTTGTTGCATGACTGCTCCTATAGCAACATCGGATGCATCAACCGCTATACTAAGCGTGGCTGATGGATCGGGATGGGCGAGAAGAGTGGCTTGCGCAAGAGCCGTTTTGATTTCAGTGAATGCAGTACGTGCAGAATCGTTCATTTCCAATCTGCGTGGGTTGCCGCGTAGTAAGTCGGTTAGTGGTCGTAACCGTTCTGCCGCGTGTGGGATGAAACGACGGTAGAAGTTAACCAAACCGAGAAAAGCCTTCAGTTCCTTGAGTGAGGACGGCACGTTGTACTCCTTTATTGCTTGCACTTTGTCCTCACAAGGTAGAATACCCTCTTGCTTGATAACATGACCCAGAAATATGATTTCTCGTTTACCTAACTCGCATTTGTCTGGGTTAACTACTATTCCATTATCCGAAAGGCGTTGGAATAATAGCGTAAGATGTTGATAATGTTCATCTACGTTTGATGATGCGATTAGCAGGTCATCAATATAGACGTGAACAAAATCGAGGTCTCGTACAATGCTATCGATAAACCTTTGAAAAGTTTGAGCAGCATTCCGTAATCCAAATGGCATTCGTAGGAACTCAAACAAACCGAAAGGAGTCGTGATAGCAGTCTTTTCGATGTCTTCAAGAGCGACTGGGATCTGATGATATGCTCGTACCAGATCGATCTTAGAAAAGATAGTCGTGCCCTTGAGCGATGCCGTGATGTCGTGTATGTGGGGGATGGGGTAGCTATCAAAGCGCGTAACTACGTTTAGAGCTCGGTAGTCGCCGCATGGTCTCCAACTAACCCCATCTTTTTTGCGCACCATGTGTAGAGGAGAGGCCCATGGACTGTGAGAAGGACGAATAATACCAGTAGCTAGTAAATTGTCAAACTCACGCTTAGCAAAAGCTAATTTGTCCGGTGCCAGTCGGCGAGGTCGTGCCGTGACTGGCGGTCCGCGGGTGACTATGTGGTGTACCACACGATTGGTCACCGATGGAAGCTCCTCGAGTGGTTTAGTGATTACGGGGAATTTCTCGAATAAAGCGTGGAATTTATCGTCACGCGAATAAAAAGTGCCCAGGATTCGGTACGCGTTCATGTGGGCTTTACAGCCCATGAATTTGCTGTTCGACGAAGTATCGATTAGCTGCAGCCTACGTGAATCGACAAGCAATTCATAGTGCTGTAGAAAATCGATACCTAGTATGGCTGTGGGAACATCAGCAATGATGAACGTCCACAGATACCGTCGTCGGTTGCCCAGGTTGACCGCGAGTTGTCGTGTACCGTAGGTAGGAATGACTGAGCCATTCGCAGCGCGTAGTCGAAGCACTGTGGCTTGTGACTTGCTGCTACCTCGTGGTACGACAGAAACTTGGGCCCCAGTGTCTACTAGGAACCTAGCGTTCGTGCGGTAATCGTGCACATAGAATAGGCGACCAACCTGGGGTAAAGGGCCGGCGAGTACGGCCGCTTTTACTCGCCGGCGCTGGCGTTTCCCGCCTTGTATGAGCATGGTGCTCGACAACGGCGGGCGCCAGACCCGAAGGACCTATGGAACCAGCACCAACTGTCACTCGCTTCCGTAGCCGCCTTTCGGCGTGGCCTGGAAGATGCCCTTTTTGGGCGAGTGGTGACGGGTTTGCGAGAACTTGAGCGAGCTCGGGGGACGTAGGGTTGGGGTACGTTACAACGGTCTCGAAAACTAAGACGTGTGTGAATACACCCGGCCCTGTCACCATGAGCTGTGGAATGACCGGCGTCCATGTCTACATTAGGACGTGCCGTCGAAGCAACTACATAGGTGTCTCTATTACTAGTCCTCGCCAAAATTTTGTCTGCTATGAGGGCTACCTGGTTAAGCGGTGAGTCCTCGAGCAGTGCCGTCACAGTAGGTTGGATATGGGCTGGTAGTGACTCGAGCCATAATTCCTTAACTATCTCCGAGTCAGATGCTGTTGGTCCTGCAAGAGATTGCAGGCGCGTGAGGTGATGGCTTGGTTTAGCATCACCCAGGGGGTGACGTGCTAACAGGGTCCTCAATCGTTCCTCCCTCGATGGGAGGAAATGTCGGAGAATTGCCTCCTTGAGGCGGTCATAAACATTAGGCACGTTAGAATTGAGGACAACCTCACGAACAGCTACTAAATGGTCCCCGGGTAATGATTCGAGAGCGTAGGCGTATTTTTGCCTTTGGCTCGTGATGCGACGAGTCTCGAACTGAGACTCTAATGCAGCAAACCAGACCTCAGGGTCGTGGGGGATAAATGATACAGGTCGAAAATGAATGGCCTGTACGTCTGAGTCTATAACATTAATAGTATTCTTGTCGCTATCCGTCATGTCGTGTATATTATATATTAAAAATTAATATGAAAATATACGACAGACGTGGATAGATAAATAATAGACTCACCAAATTGACTTCTTTGGAAGATTTGTCCCGAGGTTGAGGCGTGTTCCAAACTTTGGGATCACCAATTGTAGCGTGGCGTCGAGTTGAGATTAACTGTGAACACCGCTACCAAGAAACACGTGCCAGATAAATCAGAAGGCGAAGATTGAACGTAACCAGATTTATTTCGTTGGCGATCTCGTGGTATTGAACGAATACCGAGATCGTGCCAAGAAATGGTACAAGTGGAAGCAGAAGACAGGAGTACGTGCGAACAGTACCAAAAACCGCGGAACAATGATGGAAGGTAATGGAAGCACAAAATGGCTATAATTAGCACAGTTAAACAAAAGCACATTAAAACAAACACTGGTACAGTTGGTTATAATAATAATTGTTTTTATTAAACCAGTCGTGTTCTCGTGATAAATGTGAGTCACTACAGATGTACACTTAACTTTATGATAAGTATTAGAACCGTCATTTTACCCAATCACTTTGTTTTGGCTTTAATCGGGCAAGGGCGCTTATCTAACCCACCTAGACAGCTATTCTTTGGTCTAAACCTTGGTTTGGATCTTACAGTAACTACAGATTTCCTGCAATCTAAGATCTCGTTTATACCGTTCGTCAGGCAACGCTACGTATTTTGCCTTGACCAGTTTTGAACTTATACAAATTCAGTCTTCAATGCTATGTTTATCCATGAGTTTATTCAACAGTACCTCGTATGTAATCCAGACTCACTTCTTAAATTAAATGGATTTTTTCTTCTAACTTGGTTGCATATATTTCATACAATACACTCCGAAAACGTTTTGGTAGAATTATTTAATACTTTCATACTACAACATACTATTAAGAAATAATATGTTGTTTAAAGATATTTCTTAGTTCCAGTTGCTTTCGCGACATATTTGTAAATGTCACTAGGCTAAATGCTGGAACTTCTTGTGGAAAGTTTAATAATAATAATAATAGTTTATTCTCAAATAACAGTTTGTTACATGAGGCATGCCAGTTTACAGGCAAGATCAAATTGATACAAATGATACAATATTCACTGTAGTAAATTACATAGCTGGGTTGATAATTTATGAGATATGAATGTAGATGGTTTTAAGCAGTTCTACAGTTAGCGCGCTTCATGAAAGTTGCGTTGCAAATGTGCGACTGGTGGTCAAGGATAGGTCCATTGAAGGTATGAGCTTCTAGAAATCGCAACCTTATGTCCCTTTAGAATATCTAAGGCTTTAAGGATGGTGCAGGATGAAGTCACCCGTTTATAGCGCTTCATATTGCTAAATGAAATTCCATAATTCGTCTCAACTTTAAAAGCGTTTCCCATTTTGGCCATGTTTATTATTTTTAATTTGTCATATACCTCGATAACTCCCATTTTAATCTGGCTCCTACATGCGTTGCATTATATTTCTATGTCATTTAAATTTAAAAACCATTTGAATCGCCTTTAACATTTTCAATAAACCCATCATAGTCGTTATTTTTATACTTATTCGGGTTTATGAATTGGTCTATCATATTTGTAGCCTAAAGAGACGAATATATTTTGGATAATAAAGTCTCTGAATTTAGATATTAGCTTATTTCACTAGCACAATAACTAATCTCTCGGGTAGTTGCTGGCCAAATAACCATTTCGAATTAAAACTCCGAGGCTTTGCATTAAAATTAACACTATGCAGACGAATATTTTCAAATTGAAATTAGTAATAAAATTAGGCAGCTTGGATTCTTTAACGCTATAAACTTCTGCTATTTCAGAAGCATATAAAACAACATTACCTATTTTCAACTGGCTACTCCACAATCAACACTATAACTAGTTTAGTATCGTCGTGAAGCATTGTTATGACTTGACAATCACGTAATATGATTGATAAAATTGATGAGACTATTAACAAAATCGGTCAACAAATTGACTTCAAGCCATTACCTAAGACATGAGTTGGGAGTATACTCCCCCTGGTTACAACTTATGTTCTCCCTAATAATCACATGCGCGTCATTCACACTTAATCACCATGTAAGGACTTATTTAGCTGAAGACAACTTGCGGCACCACATTACCTATAATTGTGGTGCATAAGCTTACTTGATTTCAACAACTTATAATCACTATGTCTCAGTTAAATCGTATTTCGCCTCGCACTAAACTGCATACTTGCAACTAACTTGTGTGCACCATCAGACAGTAGTTATGAATATAAATAAATAGTTTATGGCAAATCAGAACATTGAGTCTAGAGCATGCCTCTTACGAATACGCTCATCTTTAACTAATTCCTCTTACTTATCTGTCCAAAATCCACATAATTATCACTTTTCACGTATTAAGTTTTTTTTGCTAATCATCCATATGTATTAGTAGTATTACTAAGTTCTATCAAAGTCAAGTAAAATGAGGTCGAGAAAATCTCCCCGTAACTAAATAAAAAGTATCATACTTGTAAGATCCATTTTGAATGTTTTGTGTGTTGGTGAAAATCCCTCTATGTATATATTTGTACTTTGTTCCTATTGATCCCCTTAGTTGTACATTGTTGTCTTTTGATTACATTTGAATTGTTAATACTTGTATTTTTTATCATAGTTTTTGTTTTTCTTACGCATTCACTAAGTTTGTGTTTCTTCCCGAACTGCATCCGTGTTGTCTTACTTGACACCTGTTCTTGGTGGTAGCCATATTGATTTGCTCCTCCTTTTGTGTGTGTTCTATCCAGTCAGGATAGAATAACGTTCATTTGTTGTGACTGGTAATTTTCCCTCATCTTTCATCAGCTCCTTTATTTATTGGAATTTAGATTTTATTGATTGAACAATCATTGGTTGAATAGCCGGGTGGTAATATTTGTTTAGGTAACGATTTACATTTGAATTTATGATAAATTATAGAACCGCTATTTACCCAAATACGTGTTTTGATTTTGACGGGAAAGGGCGCGTGTCTAACGTACCTAGACGGTAGTTTGGATTCTACAATACTAACTGGAACACAAGTTGGAATTCTTCTTTCCACGGCTATACTTTTGTTCTTTCAGTTAGCCTACTGATTCAGATGTAATTGGAAATCAACTCATATGGACAGCTAACCGGCTCAAACGTAATGTGACTCCACAATTATAACCGAAACTAATACCAATATTAACATTTATACAATACTGATTGTTTTTTAGTATTCCTAATCATGAAATGTTATTACCTACGGCTATTTCTACGTATCTTACGGCGATTTATTGAAATATCTATACACGAAACCATTCTTAATTTTTTTGTTCCACTTTGTTCAACTCCTATACAATCTTCACATAGACTTCTGTTTTTTGCGTGTTAAGAATAAAACAAAACATTTTAAAATTTATCATACAAACTACAATCTGGGCCATTAACCAAATGTTATTATCTTAATGTGACTCGCTAAAATATCCCTACACTAAATCGTTCTTCAATGTAATAATCCCTCTATATTTGACGTATAAACAGTGTTCATGTGGCTTTTCATTTTAAGCGTGCGAAGCATTAAAACAGATATTTTGAAGTTATTACATGTATTTTCTGGTCAGTTGCTGCCGCCTTTCTTTTTATTTATCTTTCCGTTTATCAATACCCGAAGGATTCTTATTATTCTTGGTAACCTCAAATGCGCGAAAATCTCACTCAATTTTGTATCGAACCAACGTCACGTTGATTCTAGTGTGAGGGTAGTGTAGTGGCATAAAGTCCTAATCACGCATTCCTCAAAGCTGAATACGAGACAACTGGGCAAATAGATATTCAACATTTAACGAGGAGTCGAACCTAATGTTATGGCAGATACTTTGTAACGACCCAAAGCGGAAGGAATTCGTTTATTGCAGGTTTACATACCAACACTCTCGATCTCACTACGTGTAAACATAATTTATGTGTAATATTAAAAAATACTCCAGTAGCTTACTCCGGCTCTACTATATTATGTGATACCTCGAATGGAATTCGCAGACAACTTGTACCAACAATTTGCGAGACAAAGTCTTCTGGATGTCTCCACACATTATCTCATCCAGAAGTCCATGCTATCTTGAGACTGGTGGCGAAAGATTTGCTTGGCCAAACATAAACGCAGACATAAAGCACTTGACTAGAAACTGCTTACAATGTCAGCACAGCAAATGCTACACTGTCAACATTCACTCAACCAAATGATCATTTTCAATATTCTCAAGTCGGTTTAGTTGGCTTTCTGTATTCATCCACTGGTTTTAATTGTTTTTTTCCATAGTAGTGGGCTGTCTTACTAGATGCATGCCCAGTGAAAGGTGTCTCAGCACAAATTTTTGCTATCGTATTTCTGGAGATCGATTTGTAATTTTCATTTATCTTCTATCATGGCCTTCAATAGGGAGTCATGGTTCAAATCGCACCTCTTTAGTGAGTTTACATGCATTTTGGGCGTCCATCGCATTACTACAACAGCATACCACCTGGCAGCAAATGGACCAGTGGAGTGATTCAAAAGACAACTGAGAAGCCCTCTCACTGCATAGTTTGACGTTGTAACAACCTGCGCTGATTGGTTGAGTTGACTGCATACATCTGTGTAATGTCAAAACATTACTGCTCAAGTATTCAGTTACTTGCTTGCTTTGTGTAGGCACTATATTTTCTATCATTTTATACTGAATGTCGAAGACATTGTGTATTTAAAAAACGACTTTGCTTTGAAAATGTTGTGTTCCTCAATCTGAACAAGGAAATATTCGACCACTATTCTGATTTCGTCTGTAGATAAAACGAGAGGTATCTGTCAGCACGAAAATGCAAACCGTAAAATGCCACTGTAGTAACGTAAGAGGACCCCAGGGGTAAGCTAGGAGATGTCAAGAACATGTGCTCTTATTAAGATGTGATCACCAGACTGCAACTGAAACATAGCTGTTGTCTGACATCGTCGATGAAGAAGCGAGCTTGTAAAGCACGACGATTTCCAGACGCGTTAATTTACACAAAG